ACCAGCCACTCTGTGGCAGAAAGATGTCGCAGTCTGCTTCTGTAAAGATTACAGCCTTGGAAACCCTGTGGGGCAGTTCTGCTCTGTAACTCAGGGGGTCACCATGAGTCAGAATCGACTTGATGGCATTGGGAAATCCCATCTTTGGATCTGTGGACCAAACACTATTTTTCTCAGGGGCAGAAGCAGTGGAGTTTGGAGGGGTGGGAGAGGGGAAGGCTTCCAGACATGATGGTGACCAGAGTCTGGAGGGGAGGAGAGGTGGAGATCAGAGAAGTGGGGGGTTGGGGGCCCAATTCCCCCCACCCTGTCCCCTCCCCATTCTAACCTGGCAGCATATTATCTGCCAGGTGGCCTTCTCAGGAAAGCTGAGCTGAGCCCACCTGTTCCAAGAAGCCCAGCCAGCCCTGCTGAGATCCTGGCCAGAATTTCTAGCAAAGACCAGGGATGCCCCCTGGTGGATCTAAACTCCCGAAGGAAAAACCAGGCTGCTTCCCTCTCCAGCCATACAGGATCCCTGGGGCACAGAGCGCTCCACCAGAGCTGGGCATCATTTTTTGACCTTAGCATGTGATCAAGATTCAGTAATGCAGGGGGATAAGAACCTGGGCTCTGGCATAAGATGGAGTTGGATTCAAATCCCAGCTCTGGTGCTCACTAACTGACCATTTAGGGGCAAGTTAGTTCTCCAGGCCTCAGTTCCTCATCCATCTAATGGGTATAATTGAGAGGGCTTCTACCTTGCAGAGCTATTACCATGATCAACTGAAAATGAGATAATCTGTGTCAGGTGCTTGGCCACAGAGAATTAATACTCACAGAGATCAAGTAACTTCTGGATTTACAAACTAGAGAGGGAGACTTTTAAACAGCTAACTAGCTACAGTGTTAAGTACTATTCCGGAAAAAAAAAAAAAAAAAAACCATTGCTGTCAAGTCGGTTCTGACTCTAGTGACCCTGTAGGGTCCTATAGGACAGAGTAGAACTATCCCATACAGTTTCCAAGGAGCGCCTAGTGGGTTCGAACCGCCGACCTTTTGGTTAGCAGCCGTAGCTCTTAACCACTGTGGCCCCAGTGTTTCTAGTACTATTCTGGTGCTGTGAATAAACAGAAGAGTCTTGAGTGCCGTGCTAAGGGAATCTTCAGTAGGCAATGGGGAGCCATAGAAGGTCTTATACAGAAAGAGAAGTGTCCCTGTTTTAGAGAGCGTGTTTTAGAATGTTCACCCTGGCTGCAGTGTGGAGGATGGACAGGAGGGGGCAGTCTGGAGAACCCGTGGGACGCTCTTGAGGTCGTCTTTGTTGTGAGTCAATTTCGACTCATAGCAACCCTATAGAACAGTATAGGATGGAGCCTAGGGTTTCCTAGGCTGTAATCTTTATGCTACCAGATGAGCAGGCCTTTTCTCCCATGAGGCGGCTGGTGGGTTTGAACTGCTGACCTTTCAGTTAGCAGCTGAGTCCTAAACCAGTGCTCCACGGCACTAATGGTGAGTAGGGCTAGACTGGAGGCAGTGGGGATGGAAGGAAGCAGATGGACTGGAGAGCGGTTCAGTAAGGAAAGTCCAGAGTGTGAGGTCATTGAACAGACATGGAATGGGGTGAGGAGTATGGGAACCCTGGAGAAGGAGCAGGTTTTGTGGGGGGGTCCTCCTCAGCAGCCCCCAGTGAGCGGATTCTCCCCACAGGGAGCCGGCGGCTGGTGGATGTGATGGACGTCAACACCCAGAAGGGCACAGAGATGAGCATGTCTCAGTTTGTACGTTACTACGAGACGCCCGAGGCGCAGCGGGACAAGCTGTACAATGTCATCAGCCTGGAGTTCAGCCACACCAAGCTGGAGCACCTGGTCAAGCGTCCGACCGTGGTAGGCCCTGGTTGCGGCCCCTCCCTCTCCCTCCAGCCTCGCCTCCTTTCCCGTGGGCCCCCAGTGCTCTGGCCCAGGCTAGCCCCTGGAGGACGGGTGTTGGGCATCTCGGGAGCAGGGTTTTGGTTTAAATGCTGGCTGAGGCTGGAGGAAGGGGCCAGGAGATGAGGGAGACCAGCTTAAGGACAGCTAGAGTCTCCCCAGGGCAAAAGAGGGTGTTTGTTTCCGGCTGGGGCTGCAGGAGGCAGAGCGCGCTGATGGTGATGTGGCTTTCAGATTGACCTGGTGGACTGGGTGGACAACATGTGGCCCCAGCACTTGAAGGAGAAGCAGACGGAGGCCACCAATGCCATTGCCGAGATGAAGTACCCGAAAGTAAAGAAGTAAGACATCGTGGTGGGCAGGGAGCTGGGAGGGAGGGAGGGTCCGGCCGTCTAACAAGTCTTCAGCATGGCCTTGGAGCTGCTGCCTCTCAGAGTTGAAGGACCAAGCCCCCAGCCCTGCGGGGGCGATGCTGGGGCACGAGGCTGGGTGTCCTCGATGTGTGGGGGGGCACCTTGCTCCCTGAGATCTAGCAGCTCTGGGTTTCTGACCATCCCAGATGGTCCTTTGGCCTCCCCACCAGCTCTCCTAGGGGATTCGATCCGAGGAGGAGGAATGTGGATGTGTCTGTGTGCATCTAGGTGTGCATGTTTGTGAGTCTTGCCAAGCATTTGTCTACTCCCTCCAAGTGACAGCACACCCCAGGAGTGGCGTTTTTGGGGTATCTGCCCACGAAGAACACTTTGTCACGGTGAAGGGTGGGGAGGGGTCTGGTATTTTTGTCCTTTGGTGCTTAGAACCAGGACTGTGACCCAGAAGAACCTTAACTAGAGAAAGCCCAGGGGCCAAGTGCTCAGCTGATGTAACCTCCTAGAGGGCCCTCTAGGAAGGGGGCTGGTGCTGGGCAGGGAAGGACCACAGTCCTCCAACTGTGGAGGTTGGCGCCTGCACGTGTGGAGACCAGGTGTTTACCATGGGTGGGCGTTCCTCCTGGTCCCTCTGTGTTCAAGAACCCAAGCAGTGGACCCCTGGGAAGAGGGAGTCACCTTCTGGGCTACCACCGTCTCAAACCCTCAGTGTTCCTGTCTCTAAAATGGACAGGAGAACATGGTCTCTCCCAGGCAGGGCCATTGCTCTGGGCTTCCTAGAAGAGTTGGCTCTGCTGGCCCAGAAACCATTCGCATCTCTCTGTTCAGCCGGCTGCCAGGCAGCCCCAAGAGCTTATGGCTGTGAGCTTGCCCTTCACTCAGCCCTTCATTGGTGCACACTGAATGCGGACTCTGTACCAGGCTTGTAAGGGAGCTCGGTGCCCTGGACCCTGGGCTGCTCTGAGTTTTGCTTTCAAGCTCTCTCTTTCTTTAATTGCTTCTTAGGAATTTTTCCTCCCTCAAGCTGATGCTCCGCACACCTCTTTGATCTGGCTGAAGGTGGGATGAGGGGCGGGTAGGGCAGTTTCT